TCATAAGGTCCAACGGACAGTCACAGGTTGGATTGAAGCCGGATGTAAAAGCCACTCAGCCTGTCCCATCACTATCAAATGTATTCAATCTCTTGTCGATTATGCTCTGAAAATACACACTGTTTAATTCTACCAGAAACTCTTATTCCCCCATTTAAATTGTTCCTTGTTGCTGATATTGATGGTTTTCCATGAACTGTAGTGTGGAGCTGGGTCAGAATTCCTCTGATTCTCTGAATATTTCTCCTCTTCTGCTTCCCATTTCTTTTTGAAATATTGATTGCTGCACAGGGACTGTTCTATTGTACAAACAGCGAGATACAGCTCACACTGGGAAACTGAAATAATAGCTGAGTGTTTCCAAAAGCTTCTGTGAAGAGAGGGAGAGGGAGGTTAACATATCAGGTCTATAAAAGCTTAAAATATAGTTTTGCAAACTGGAGTTTTGAATCAGCCAGAACTCCCGAATTCTTCACTTTTATTTCAAATTAAATCTTTCATTTCTTTCAAGCTAGCGTTGAGGTTTTTTGTGCAAATACTGCACAGCCTCAAATAAAATGTAACTCAGCATGTTCACAAATATCCAAACAATATTCCTTATTATATGTAATCAGTTTTCTTTTAACCTATAAGTGCCCCAATCTGAGTGTGGAGAGTACAGACAGAACCTGTTTACTCACATGAGCTGCTACATTAACCCTGACAGACTCTGAGCATTTCTGCGGGTTGGTTGAAGTTCCCACTTGCGGCCAGTAGCGGTCACTAACCTGTGGAACAGTGAAGTTCCTGGATCAGAGAGATGGAGACAACAGACAATAATTACTCCCTTTGTGTTGGACAGTGTGAGGGAGAAATAATAAGGGTGGGGACCGGCTGTTATTATATTTCCAGGGCTGGGAAAGGGGATTGGAAAATGTCTGAGAGATGGTAGAAATGATCATTGAGAGTGGCACTTTTTTTTAATAGAATAGAAAATCCTTTATTGTCACATGTACTCCATTGTAGACATACAGTAAAAAGCTTTTACAACGTCTGCCTCTTATGGGGCAATCTTAGGTACAAGTACCTAGGTTCAAATCATGGATACAAAAGAGGAATAAAAAGTAGTTTCATTACTTTGCAGAGTTTCTAAAACAAAAATTAGAAATAAGACATCGTTAAAGGATTGACATTACAGTCAGGTAAAAAATTTCAAATAAAAATTACATTGCAGCAGCTTAGCACAGGGCCTGTGCTCAAGGTCTGAGTTTCCACACCAGACCCCAGTCTAACAGCCATCCCTGCTCCACTCCAAGTCTCCAGACTGCTCCGTGCTGGCACTCAGCTGCTCCAAAGTAAGTAGCAGGAGTGCCTCCCCTGCACTGGTCTCCACGCGGGGCTCACTGCCTTCACTGTTCTGGGACTCACTGGCCACATTGCTCTGGGGCTCGCTGCCTGCGCGCTGCTCTGGGGCTCGCTGCCCGTGCGCTGCTCTGGGGCTCGCTCCTCGAGCCTGCTGCTGGTCCAGGATTTATCTCCTGGCTAAGGGGAGTTAAAAAAATGAAAGAAAAAGAACAGAGCGGAGGAGCTCCAGCAGGAGCATTTTACTCTGTTGTCATCTTGCCCGATTGTTTCAAAAATGTACTTTATTCATAAAACATATCTTTATTTATACATGCATCATCATAAACACCGTTCAGTTCTGTGCAGCAGCATATCAGGAAACAAGGAAACATTGGAGTTTAACTCTATCTAACAAACAAAGGCACCTGTTACTTGTACAAGATTATATTTACGTGCATTTGAGGCATCAGGAAAGTCTGGTAACTGAAGACTGAAGGCAAAAGATAATGGGAAAAGCATGTTTGTGTGATTGGAAACTTGTTTCAAGGAGATTCCCTTGAGTTTAGTTTTGGTATTTTTAAATTCATTTTGTGGGATGTGGGTGTCGCTGGCTGGCCAGCATTTTTTGCCCATCCCTAGTTGCCCTTGAGAAGGTGATGGTGAACTGCTTTTTTTAAACCGCTGCAATCCTCCTGTTGTGGTTTGACCCACAATGCTATTAGTGAGGGAATTCCAGGATTTTGACCCAGTGACAGTGAAGGATCGGCGATATATTTCCAAGTCAGGATGGTGAGTGACTTATAGAGGGAACTTGGAGGTGATGGTGTTCCCATATATCTGCTGCCCATGTCCTTCTAGATGGAAGTGGTCATGGGTTTGGAAGGTGCTGTCTGAGGATATTTGGTGAATTTCTGCAGTGCATCTTGTAGATAGTACACACTGCTGCTACTGAGTGTTGGTGGTGGAGGGAGTGAATGCTTGTGGGTCTAGTGCCAATCAAGCGGGCTGCTTTGTGCTGGATGGTGTCAAGCTTCTTGAGTGTTGTTGGTGCTGCACTCATCCAGGCAAGTGGGGAGTATTCCATCACACTCCTGACTTGTGCCCTGTAGATGGTGGACAGGCTTTGAGGAGTCAGGAGGTGAGTTACTCGCCGCAGTATTCCCAGCTTCTGGCCTGCTCTGGTCTGCTTTTCCTGTTATGAACCACGGATCTGGAATTGGATGTAGGAGATGCAATTTACAGATGACATAAAAATTAGCCAGATCATTGACAGGGAAGAAGACGTTTGTAGACTGCAGGTGATCTAAATCAAATTGTCAGTTAAAATAATGGAGAGGGAGTAATGCTGGAGAAGGAGACAGTGATGGGGTGTGTGTTAGTCTGGGTACATTTAGGGTAATAGGATTGTAGTGGTATTGGAGATTAACAGAAACATTGTGAAGGTTGAGAGTGTGGAGTGTTTATAGTTAGTGTGTCAGTGCTGCTGGAAAAAGATCATAAATGTGGGTTGTTAGTTTGGAGGTGGTTACATTAATAGGGAGGAAATAAGGACGGAGAAGAATACAATGGTTGTGAAGACTAAATTGTTTACAATAACAGGAGGGAGTAGATGGGTGAACAGTAATTGAGTGAGAGAGATTTTTAAAGCATGTAAAGAGGACCATTGTCCCATCGTGTCCATGCTGGTCACGGAACACTAATCTCTTCTAATCCTATATCCCAACATTTAGCCAGTAGCTTTGTATACTATGGTGTTTCAGATGCTCATCTAAATAGTTCTTGATAGTTTTGACAAATCCCACCTCTTCACAGCTTTTCACACAGTGAAGTCCAGATACCTCCAACTCTCTGAGTGAAAACAAATTTCCTCAAATCCCCTCTAAGCATCCTGACCCTTATCTTAAATTTGTGCCCATTAGTTTCTGACCCTTCTACTAAGGAGAAATGGTTCACCCTATCTACCTGTCTACAGCCCTCAGAATTTTGCAAAAGGGCACAGGGTATGGGAATACTGGAGGGCCACAAGTGGTTACGGGATCAGAGTGTGAATTGGTTTGGAGAAGGTCACAGAGATTGAGAGATCTGTGAGTCTGAAATCAGTTGCAAGAATAGAAAGGGAGTGGGTTTGGAGAAGGTCAAAGGGAAAAGGAGGTCTGTTAGTCAAGAAGTGATGACAGTAACACTAATGGAGTAGAACTGCAGAGATAGGGGGCGGATATAGGAGCAGTGCAGGCTACTATAAATACCAAACACAGTGAGACTGGAGGATGTTACAGAGATGTGGAAGATTATAGGGTCTAGAGCAGGCTATGGAAATGGTGAAGGCTGCATTTATCTGGAGGGTATTACAGGTCAATTGAGTTTTGTAAGTTGCAAATTATGACACAGACAGGAATGGGTGTTGTGGTTGGGAAGGATTACTGAAATAGGGAATGTTTCCAGGCTGGAGGTATTAACAGAGATAGAAGCCCTGTCGACCCATGGATGTTCCAGGGAAAGGTTGGGTGAAATCATTGACAGACATGCAAACAAGGCCACTTTTAAATGCAGATGTTGCTGGGAGACAATGCAGCCAAGTCTGAGTTTGAAATTTCCAGTAATGATGTGAGAACAGAGTGTTGGAAAATTTTAACAGCATATGAGCTGATGCCATAGTTATGTGGAAACAAGAGGTCACTACCTCTGTCTTGATGCTGAGACCTGGTTATCCAAAAGCTTAGATTTAAAACTGTGATTGAGACTTTCTGAATTCCCAGGAAGAGATGGAGTATTATGATCAGCTGTCACACTGGCCCCTGTGCCAAATGTAGACTCTGTGCCTGTAACCATCTTCACCTTTCCTCCAGAGTTCATTCAGTTGGGTTTGTGAAGAAGCATATCGCCTCATTCCCCACTGCCAGACTCCATTGACTGGGGACATAATATCATTAATGTTTATTGATGCAATCTGTCCAGTCTACCCCACTTCCCCCAAACTATCCCCACCTCCCAATCACCCGAGCACTGTCACTATACACCTGGAGAAAAGAATATCCCCAGCACCAGCTACAGGCATAAGAGTCAGAATTACATTAATAATTGGGACCATTGTTATTGACATAGGAAGCAGTCCAGGATCTGCATTGATGTCCGATTTAAAAACTGAAATATTCTTTTGTTCTCCTGGATGCAAAGAGCTGGTAATTGAATGAGCGGAGCTGGAAATTGAACGAGCAGAGTTGGAGGTGACACTCTGGATCATGCTTCTCTTTTCTATGGTACAGGAGGAAGTAGAGACGCTGCTCCTGCCACTTCTGGTCGTCTGTTGGCTCTTGCCTTGCTCCACTGATCTTTGGTCTGTGCAGTACCTTCAGCTCATTTACACTGGTCCCCCAAATGTTAAATTAATAAAAACAGAAATTTCTGCAAAGACACAGCAGGTCTCGCAGCATGTGTGGAGAGAAATCAGAGTTAACATTTCAGGTTCGGTGACCCTTCCTCAGAACAGAAATGTTACCGCTTCTCCTTGAATTGGGAAACCTGCATCCTTATCTTCATCTTTTTGTTCTCTTGATGTCTGCTGAATATTCCCTGTTCTCATTTCTGTCTGACAGATTTACGTCTCGAGGACGGTTGCCTTTGGTCCTCAACGGCCATTTCTTGCTCTTTATCAAGTGGACTTTGAGCTTTTCTCAGATTTATGCAGTAACTAGTTCAATAATTCTGGAAACTGGATATTTCAACACTCTTTTGAACTGAGCTCTGAACTTGGACAGAGTCACCATGTAAATAAGGGTGTTTGTGCAGCAACTTACATTGCGCAGCATGTATCCAACTTGTTCAAAGATTTCGTAGTCATCACCTTTAAAGTACGGATCTAGGACATCTAGGATATATAAGACATAGAGCAGCCAGAGAACTATGAAGTTGCCAGATATAGTGAAAAGTAAAGTCACTGCCTTAATTCTACTCTTCATCTCTGGGTCACTCTGCCTCTCTTCCTTCCTCTGACCCCTCAGTCCCTTACGGACTCGACTTGTAAATAAAATGCGTGCGATTGTCAGAACGTTGAGGAACACAATGAAAACGAATGGCACCAATGGGGTTAAAGCCACAGCAAATGAGCTGAATCCAATCCAACGTGAGTCAGTAAAGTAGCTTCGCTTATTCCTACAGTAAAATGGTATGTTTCTGATCATCTTTTTAGGCTCAAATCTAAAATACCAGGGAACATTTTTTAAACAAAGCAGAATACCAGTCGTTGATAGAATTGCAGATGCATTTTTCCCAGTGCAATAATTAGTTTTCAGTTTGTGGCAACAAAAGCTGACAAACCGATCAAATGTGAATGTGACAGTGAACCAGACGGAACAGTCTATGGATGCACGGATCAGGACATTGATAACACTGCACACGGGAGTGATGTCCAGGAAACACAATGGGTAATAATAAAAACGCAATTGCCTCAATATGACTTCACTGATAATGACCAGTAGATCTGCTGCTGCCATGGCCACCAGATATCGTGTTGTGCAGGTAGTGAGGCTACACTTTCCCTGGGACAGGATCATAATCGCCACAGAATTTACTGTCAGAAAGATAATGGAAAAATGACTGGATATTAATTCACAGTATTTTCTGTATAAGTGTTCAAACAGTCTGGATTGTAGTGAAAACTGCAAGATAAGAGCAGCCAGAAGTTTTTTTAAAAAAATGAACGAAACTGTAAACCTATAACTTGCCAACTCAACTTACCAAGTTCTGGCTTGAATAGAAACAGGCAGCCAGTGAACAGCAAATAGAATCTAGGATATCAATCAGAAAACTACCCACTTATGATGGTTAATTTACACCACATTCCTTAAGAACAGTCAACACAACAAGATAATATGGTGTGGGAATTGGATTGGACAACTCCTCATGATAAGAAAATGATAAAAGTTGTACCAATTTTTTCTTTTTATTCATTCATGGAATGCTGATGTTGCTGGCTAGGCCAGCGTTTATTGTACATTGCTAATTACCCAGGAACAATTAAGATTCAATTACATTGTTGTGGGTCCAGAGTCACATGTATGCCTTTCCCTACCTCCCCTAAAGGGAGGGAACTCCCTACAGTGAGTAAAAGTATTAACTTATTAGGAGGAAAACAAGTCACCATAGTATCAAAAAAAGAGCAGATTTAAATTAATTGTAATGCCAGAGAAGGAGGGTATGGGGGAAGGAAGAGGCAAGAGAATTTCTTCATGATCAGTTGGAGGGCAGATGTGTTTCAATTACAAAGGGACGATGATCCCATGCGGTGATAATACATGTTGTTGAAATGTGATTTCTAAGCAGGAAAAATTCTTAATGTACAATCACAGTGAATGCTAAGGGAGGCAGGGCCAATGTAAATCTAATCAAGCAGCGAACCCCTATCATCTGAAAATATGACGGAGAATGAGGGGCAGACTCTGTTGTTTGAATCAACATTGTGGATGCACTGAAATAGAGGTAACACAAACAAAATGCCAAACCGCACCATTGCCAACCCCTGAAAAGCTGCATTAAATCTCCTCAATTATCAACATATCACATCCAAGAAGTTAATTGCAGTGAATTTACACTGAATACTTTACTTTTGATGTGGATTCCTGCAAGTTTTAGCAAATTAATGACAGGTTGTTCATCATTCAGTTTAAAATGTAAAGGTGTAGGAGACATATACAAAGGCAGAATGCAGTGTTAAACTGGCTGTTGATATGAAGCTCAGGCAGACCCACAGCTCACCTTCAGCAAAATAATCTGTCTAGACACATGTCATCACTTCCATTTTACAGACGATTTCTTATGGACAGGTAACTAAATTGAAAGAAGTGAACATTAATCTCAGTCCCACCTACATATATTTTTGTGCGGATGAGAGGAGGTAAGAGAGAATGAAACTCATACTTCAACAGAAGTGTACCAAGGGTTAAAAAAGGCAAATGATGGAGATGATGGAAGTGTGACCCTGTCTGTCCCCAGAGCCAGTGGGAAAAAATACGAAGGCAAGTCACATTACGTGGTTTCTGTAGCTGAACAGGTCAAAATGCCAGAGATGGCGTGTTCAATGTGGAGGGTAGCTGCAATTTCAGATGTACTGATATGGAATGCTGCATCGCTGGCAAAGTTGCTGAGGTGGCTGAACTCTGCAACAATGAAAGAGACTCATAACAAGTGTTGGGACAATTACAGTCAGGGTCATTGTTAGAGCCAGAGGCTCTGTTGGAAATATTGATTGAAAAGCCAATGGGCCATACAGGAGTTGGACAAGTGATGGTGACATAAAGGTCTATAGCACAGAATTTTTAAAAAAATGTTTTAGCCTGTAGAGTCTATGCTGGTCAAAAATAATGACCTAACTATTCTAATCCAGTTTTCCAGCGTTAGGCCCAGAGCCCTAGCGTTAGAAGCACACATCTAAAGACTTCTATGTTATCAGGGGCTCAGCCTCTAATACCCTTACAGGTAACGAGTTCCAGAATGTACTGCACTCTTGGTGGAAAACTAAAGCCTCACATCCCCTCTAAACCCCCCGACTTTTTGAGTCAATGCCCCTGGTCTAACCTGTCCACAAAGGGAAATAATTATTTCCTTTCTACACTGTCTATACCCCATATAATTTTAGAACATAGAACAGTACAGCATAGTGCAGGCCCGTCAGCCCACGATGTGCCAACCTATTATCCTACTCTAAGATCAAACTACCCTGCATACGCTACATTATACTATCATCCATGTGCCTATCCAAGAGTCGCTTGAAAGTCCCTAATGTATCTGACCCCACTACCACTGTCAGCAGCGCATTCCACTCACCCTCTGTGTAAAGAACCTACCTCTGAAATCTCCCCTATACCTTCCTCCAATCACCTTAAAATTATGCCCCCTCATAATAGTCATTTCCATCCTGGGAAAGAAGTGTCTGGCTTTCCACTGTATCTATGCCTCTCATCACCTTGCACACCTCTATCAAGTCACCTCTCATCCTTCTTTGCTCCAATGAGAAAAGCCCTGGCTCCCTCAACCTTTCCACATACGACCTGCCCTCCAGTCCAGGCAGCATCCTGGTAAATCTCCTCTGCAGCCTCTCTAAAGCTTCCACATCCTTCTTATAATGAGGCGACCAATTTCATACATCTGGATCATATCGCCCATCAAGTAGTAGACTCGCCAACTTTAAGGGCATTTAAATGGTCATTGGATAAACATATGGATGATAATGGAATAGTTTAGGTTAGATGAGCTTCAGATTGGTTTCACAGGACGGCGCAACATCGAGGGCCGAAGGGCCTGTACTGCGCTGTAATGTTCTATGTTCAATCTTCCCTGCAGACCACCCAATCTCTCTTTATAACTAAAACTTTCCAACCTTGGAATCATCCTGGAAATACCTGCACCCTGTCCACAGCAATCACATCTCTTCTATAATGTGGAATCCAGAACTACACACAATACACTAGCTGCGACCTAGCCAACAGTTCCAGCATATCTTCCCTGCTCTTAAACTCTATGCCTCAGCTTATAAAGGCAAACATTCCTTATACCTTCTTCACACTTTTATCAAGCTGTACTGCTACCTTAAGGTGTACATGTGCACCAAAGCCCCTCTGATTGTCAGTGCTTCCCAGGTTTCTACCATCTACCATGCATTCCATTGCCTCATGTCTCCTGCCCAAGTGCATCATCTCACACTTACCCAGCTTGAATTCCATTTGCCACTGATCAACCCATCTAACCAGCCCATCCATACCATCCTGTAATATAAAGCTATCCTCCTCACTATTTACCGCTTCACCAATTCTTGTACTATCTGCAAACTGATCCTGTACATCCTCTGATATGCAGGGTTCACATATTTCTGAGTACCACCCTTTATCTTTAGTGGAACATGTTGGCCCTGTAATCTCCTCACTAAATGCATTCCACTGTTCTGATGTGGATTAACCTAAAAGTCTCTGCTCTGTCCAAATCACTCCCAATCTTATTAAACTCGGCCTTCCCCAGTTTAGAATTTGTCCTTTTCCATGTCAATCTTGAGTCATGATCACTGTGTGTAAAATTCTCCCCCACTGATACCTCAGCCACTTGCCCAGCTTAATTCCCTAAAACTAAGTCCAGGATTGCCATCAAAGCTGGAGAAGGTAAAGAAACTGTCTGAGATTGGCCAGGTGAAGCTATGCAGTGTGTTGTGGTAACAAAAGAAAAAATCCCCTCCAGTTTATCCAGCAGATAGCAACAGAAGATTAAGGGGTTTAAAACAGTTGTAAATGTTCCAGAATCAGAAGTGAAGCAGTAGCACCCAGGAAAAGTGACAGATGGTGGGGAGCAGTTCCACTCAGAATGGTGAACGAATGGAATCTAATGAATAACATCCAACCTGCACCTTTGGAGGGAAGCTGTGGGAAATTGTTGAGGCACCTTTGGCAGAAAATGACTTGCTGTGGTCAGTGAGAATGGGTCATGTCTCCTGGGGTTTAAGGCATGCTCAGAGATGAGTGGATAACCATGGTCAGAAAGGAAAATAGACCTCAGTGCATAGCTCTGGACTGATTCAGAAACAAACCACTTGCATTGGGGAAGCAGAATGAAGCATATCATGAAAAATCCGATGTTTAAGAAGGTAGAGGGAATTAACTATTAATTCTTACTCATGATTGGAACCTACAATTTGAAATCCAAAAAAAAGTATACTTGACCATTGCATATGTCTCTTTTCATAGGGATGCATTCCATCAGCAAATGGCAGACACTGCAGATTACAGCTTTAAGTCAAGGCATGTATGGAACGAACTGCCAGAGGAAGCAGCGGAGACTGGTAAAATTATAACATTTAAAAGACATCTTGATGGGTATATGAACAGGAAGGGCTTAGAGGGATATGAGTCAAATGCTGGCAAACGGGACGACATCAGATTGGGGTATCTGGTTGGTGCAGAAGAGGTGATCGAAAGGGTCAGTTTCCATGCTGTAAGACTCAAAGAAGAAAATGATTCCTCAATGTTCATCATTCCCATAACTGGAAAAGCCGATAACCTCAATAGTTACTCAAGCATGATTCTTAACATTCAACTGTCATAGCAAACAGAATCTGAAAACCATACTGTGTAAAGAAGATTAGGCGGTTTTAAATCCTTTTCCTGTATTGCTACCAGGAGGGTAGGGAGGAGTTAATGTGCTGCTATCAATACAATCACACAAACATTGATACTCGCAGGAATGTGAGAACACTGGGTTTATGAGATTTAAGACTTTAAAATAATTTAACTGTATGATATTGCAACTTGGGAGTGGGTATAACACTGAACACTATACTAGTATATAAATCTCTTGGTTAACAAGGAAAATAGGGGAAATCTCATCCACAAATAGTCTTTAATTGTAGAGACTTACCAGGAACACCAATGATAGCAAGGATCATGTAGAAAACTTTCCTGGCTAATTGAATTGGTAGATGCATTTTCAGCGTACAGTAGTTATCCTCCCTTGCTGCAAATAATATACAAGCATTAACTCTGAGGTGTTACATTCTCGGGGCTTCTCCTTTATG